GGCGGCGGCCGCCGCGAGAGCTCGCCCAGGCGGCGCGCGAGCTCCCGCGGCGGCGGAGCAGAGGGGTCGAGCAGGCCACTCAGGTAGTCCCTGCCATGCGCCGCGGCGATCGCCGCTGCCGTCACGCCATAGGCGTCCGCCGCCGCCCTCGGGTCCGGCCCCGGCCCCGCTCCCGCCTCTGCGCCCGCCTCTGCGCCCGCGGCCGGCCCCTCTGGCGGCGGCGCCGCCCCGCGCTTGCCGGCGGGGGCGCCGCCGCCCGCGGCCGCGGCCTGCTGGGCGGCGCCGCAGCAGGCGTCGAGCAGCAGTAGCACGAAGGATTCGTGGTCGCGCAGCGCGGCGATGTGCAGCGGGGTGGCGCCCTTGTTGCAGGGCAGCTCTGTGTCGTAGCTGCACAAGGGTGTGTGTGTGTGTGTGTGTGCGCGCGTGTGCGTTTGTGTATGTGCGTGTGTGTGTGTGTGTGTGTGTGCGCGCGCGCGTGCGTGTGTGTGTGTGTGTGTGTGTGTGCGCGCGCGCGCACGCGCGAGGACACATGCATGCTTGAGCATTTGCAAGGAGTGTGTAGGTTGGGTCGCCGGGTAGGGTGAGTTTGTGACTGCACAGCATCGACTTGTTTATCAGCAAACCTTTCATGTGTCAAATTGTGTGTTGATTTGATTTGGGGCGAGGGCTTCGTGAGAGCGCGGGCGTGCGTTGAAGAAGATGGCCATACGTCACGGAAGCGAGTGGCGCGCCCCCCTCCGCACCAACCCGCACCAGTCGGCGCCCGCCGGCAGCAGCCGCGCGCCCGCCGCCAGCAGCGCCGCGCCGCGCCGCGCGTCGCCGCCCCATGCGGCGTAGTGCAGCGCGGTGCGGCCGAGGGCGTCGGGCGCGTTGACAAACCTGCGGGGGCGTTTCGAGGTGCCGGGGCTGGCCTGATGATGGGGCTTGGGAGCGCATGAATGGCAATGCACTGGCCACATGTGGTTCTCAATCCCACAGACGCTGGCCCAATACATCAGTATCGCGCTTCGACGCCAGACCGCAAACAAACATGCACAGTCCGCGCGTCCGGCGCGTGGCTCAAGCCCAGTCCGCGGCAGCAGTGCGCTCGGCTGCGTCAGCGCGCGGCCGGCGCCCGCCGCCCCGGCCCGCCCCGGCCGGCTCACTCTGCCATGGCCTCTTGAACGCCACCTCCCAGGCCCCGCGGCCCGCCCGCCCCCAGCCGGCTCGCGCGGCCGCTCCCACCCTCTGATGCGGACGTCGGGCCCCCCGCCGGCGGGCCGCCGCCGCCCTCGGCGCGGCCCGGGCTGGCCGAGCGACCGAGAGCGGAAGGCTGCTGCTGCTGCTGCTGCTGCTGCTGCTGCTGCTGCTGCTGCTGCTGCTGGTGCTGCTGCTCCTCCTCGTTGCCTTGGTGCGCCTGCATGAGCAGATCGTCGCCGCTGTCTCCCTGTTGCTGCTGCTGCTGGTGCTGCTGGTGCTGCTGCTCCTGCTGCTGCTGCTGCCGCCGCTGCCGCCCCGCCTCCCCGCCCTCCTCATCGCCGCCCGCCAGCTCAGCAAACAATCCCCCGCCGTCGCTGCCCTCGTCCCACACGCCCGCGCCGCCCGCCGCCCCGCCCCCGCCCACCCCCTGCCCCGCGCGCTGAGCTGTAAGCTCCTGCTCTGCGTGACACAGCAGCAAGTCCACACACCTGGCGCCGCCGCTCGGCCCCTTGGCCGCCCCGCAGCCCGCCGCCGGCGCCGGCGCCGCGGCCGCGTGGTGCAGGCAGCTGCGGCCGGCGGCGTCGCGCGGCGCCAGTGCAGAGGCGCGGGCCGAGATCAGAAGGTGCACCACCTCGTGGGCTCCGGCCCTGCACATCAAGGGTGCGGCGGCGGCCGCAGCGCCTGTTGTTATTGCCGCAGGCAGACGCTTGTTTTGGGGGACGGGTGTGATTGCTGCCCGCGGCGCAACCAGCAGGGATATTGGTCACTGCTGGTGCTGCATCCAGCGCAGGCCAATTGTTGTTTTCCAGGCAGGAGCCAGGCAACGCCGCGCCGTCCGCTGCGCGGGCAGCGCCGCGCCGTCCCCTGCGCAGGCGTGCCCCCAACGGCAGCGCCGCTGCCGGCAGCGCGGCCTCCTGCGCCAATCTGCGCGGGCCTCCTATGAAAGCGTGAGCTCGCGCCCGGTGCGCCGCACCTGCAGGCGAGCATAAGCGGCGTCTCGCCGGCGGCGTTCTGATGGTTCAAAGCGTGAGCCACTGGGTCGAAGCTGCGGGCGCCGAGGAGGAGGCGGCCGGGGCGGGGTGAGGGGGCGGGCACGCGGGGCGCCGCTGCTGCTGGCTGCGGGGTTGCGCCCCTGGATTGTCAAGCCCCGGACTACAGCACCGGCGGCCGGAAGGGGGTCACGGGGGGGCGTGCTGGGTTGCCCCTCTCGCCTGCGGTGCCGCAGAGTGACTCAATCCACCTCGCATGCGGACTGAATCCCTCCTGGTGTGCTACGCATGCCATACTCGCTCCCAGCAGCGGCGGCGGGAGGGGGCGGCCGGCAACCGCTCACGTGTTGCTGGCCGCTGACATGCGCAGCGTGCGCAGCAGCAGCTGCACCGCGTGCGCGCTGCCGCTGCGCGCCGCAAAGTGCACCGGCGTGTTGCCGCGATGATCGGTGTGGAAGGCCAGGGCCGGATTTTTTTGGAGGAACAGGTCTGCTGTCTCTGGATGGCCCTCTCGCAGCGCGATCGCCAGCAGCAGGCCCTCTGTCGGGTCTCCGCCCGCCGAGGTGCTGCTGGCGCCTTGTCCCATCTCAAACGCAGCGCGACAATTATGATATATGCAGTGGCTTGGGCTTGGTTATGGCCGTTTCGTAGCTCGAATTATAGAGGCTTCAGCTTTCAAAGCGAATGCCATCCATCAAGTCTTGCCGTTTGTGTGTAGACTATCTATACGCGACAAGGGTTCACTGCATATTTATTGCTGCCGCAACACTTGCTCAAACACCATTCTCTCTCCTTCCCAGCTGCTCGCCTGCGGTTTCGCTGCGTCAGGTGCTGGTCAGGTGCTGCGTGGCCTGCTGCGCCGCCTTAGTCAACACCCACCACACTGTGGCCGCGGGGCAGGAACGGTTTGCTGCCCTGATCCTGCATTTCAAACCCCCTAATTCGCAACGGTAATGCTGAAGGCACGATCAGACTCTCAGAACAGCCACATGCAGCTGTATGTACGTGTGAGTGTGTGTTGCACCTGCCAAGGCATGCTCTCCTGCAAGGGAGGAGTGAAGATTCTTGGCTGACGCGCCGGCGGCCCAGGACCTAAAGTTGGTGGCAGGGCGTGCGGCGGCCGACCCCCGCCGATGATGACTCATCAGACCGGCCGCTTGCTCAGCCCGAGGATACAGCATGCATGACCTGCAAACAATGAACCTAAAAAAGCACGTAGTAGGCTGCCATTGTGTGTATGAACATGTGCATTGACCAAGGCAGTTGCTAAAGCTATGTGCCGCAAAAGCCGCCATAGAGCAGCCCGCGCCCCCGCCAACCCAGCCGCGCAAGACCACTGGATCATGCGCTGAGCGAGGGCAGTGCCGGCGGCCGCAGCCGTCTGCAGGCAGCGCGAGCGCAAGGGGCCAAGCCACCCAGCCGCCCGACGCGCGCGCGATTCTTTCCTGTCGTGTGTCTGCTTTGCAAACGGGGGGATGAGATACGCGTACAGACAAGCCCTAAGACACGCCAAGCGAACAGCCCTAGGCGGCCGGGGCCACCCGGCGCGGCTGGGGGTGGCGCACGCGCGCCTGCCCGCCCTCCGCGCCGCTGTCGCGGGGCCGCCGGCCGCGCCCCCTGCTTTTCCCCTCGAAAGGCACCAAGCCCGGCGCGGCCACGCAACGCGACCAATAGCGCCACGGCCGGCCAACTGGTGCACAGGTATGGGCTGAGGTGAGCGTGGCGACGTGCCAAGATGACCCCTGCCGCGCCGCGCGCCCCAGCGGCACACCACTGTCTCGCGCCCCGAGCCCGCCTTGCGCGGCACCAGACAATCCAAGTACAATGTACAACCGGCAGGCCCGACCCGCCCGCCCGCGCGCCGGCCGCCCAGGGCTCGCGGCAGACGAGATCCCAGATCTCACGGCGCGTCCCCCCAAGATCTGGCAGGCGGAAGGTCAATGATGAGCAGGTCCTCGTCAGTGCCGAACGCGCGCCGCCCCGCCTCAAGAGTGTCTGCCGCCAGCCGGCAGGGCCCGGACGGCTTTGCGGGGTCCTGCACCCAGAAGAGACGCGCCGCGGCGTCGTAGCCGGTGAGGAGGAGGTAGTGGCCGGCATAGCCTGCTGCCGCATGCTGCTGCTGCTGCTGCTGCTGCTGCCGCTGCTGGCCTTCAGAGCTTGACGAGAGGGACTGAAGGGCCAACGGCTGCTGCTGCGGCTGCTGCTGAGGAGAGCCCGCACCGGCGCCGCCGCTGCCCTGCGGTAGCCACCAGCCATAGTAAGAACCCCATGTCTGCTGTTGCTGCTGCTGTTGCTGCTGCTGCTGCTGCTGCTGCTGCTGCGCATACTCATCCTGCTGCTGTGGCTGCAGCTGCTGCGCATGGGTACCGACTTCCTGCGGTGGCAGCTGGCGCCGCTGCTCCTCCTGCCCTTGCTGCAGCGGCGACTCAACCTCCTGCTGCTGCTGGTGCTGCTGTTCCTGCCGCTGCTGCTGGTTCTGCTGCTGCCCACCGCTGCTTGTGCTGCGCAGGTTGTAGCCGCCAGTGTAGTAAGAACCCATCTGATCAAAATACGCTTGCCACGTCCGCGCGGCCCCGCGGGCCCCCTCACCTCCACCGCCTGCCGCTTGGCGCTGCTGCTGCTGCTGCTGCTGCTGCTGCTCGTCCTCCCCCGGCCGCCCCTGCTCCTGCTGCTGCTGCCGGCCCGGCAGCGGCGGCGGCGACGGCGGCGCGCCGAGCGAGGAGGGCGGCGACGCTGACGAGGACGGTGAGTGTGGCGGTTGCGGCGGCAAGGCGCGCGGCAAGCAGGACCACGGGTCCGTGATGCGTTTATCCACCAGGACGATTGCGAGGTGGCGGCCGCCGCCCACAAGCGCGCAGAGCTCCTCCAGGGGCATGCTGCGGGCGCAGTGGTCGGGAGCGGAAGGGGAGCGTGCGCGGGTCAGCAGCAATCGCGCTCGTGCGAGATGACA